CCATCCAACCGACGGAAAGGCGTTCGTCATATCCATGAAGCTGTCGATGTAGGAACACCGCATGAGCCTCAATCTCGAAGCCGTCGCCATGGGTGCCATGATAGCTGTCTCTCGCCGCCTACCTTTGGCGTACCCATGATGCTCAGGAGGAAGTGGTGGAGGTCGCCGAGCTCCGATACACGTTGCAAAAAAAAAAAAAAAAAAAAAAAAAAAAAAAAAAACGTTACCCAAGACACGCAGAATGTGCAACAATATTCGTCCTTTAGCTCCTGGCTCCTCATTCTTTTTTGCAGCATAACACTCGCTGATGTGCCCATCCTTCGGCGTAAGCTGATGATAGCGAAGATTGTAGAAAGCCAGATGCAGCGCAGCCTCGATGTAGCTGTTGTCCGAGTCTTCCAAGCTGAAGCCAACTCCACGTAGTGACGGGTCTCGAGCGGGATGTAAGATCATCCAGTAGAGCTCAGCTGGTGGGGATTGCGCCGGGCACGCTTTCCGTTTTGGGGTCGTCCACAAGTACCACTTGAGGCGCCTAAGGTCCCGCTTGCTCTCCAGGAACGCATCGGTGGCGTGATCGTCTTTGAACACGGGCATCCTCTCTTCATCGTCATCGGGCATCTGCTCCCAAGGATCAGGTATACGGGGAAGGTCATCTGGTACTTCTTCACACTCGAACTCTTCTCCTATCTCGCGCGGGCGGTGCGTGATCTCCTGCGCGCCCATTCCGCCTTGGCGCCCTGGCTGCTTGAGCGCACTCATCCACTCGTCCTTCGTCGGGTGCGCCAGGGGAAGAGCCCATAGATCCCTTCTCTTCGCCCCCGTCCTCGAGTTGCCCAGTCGAACGGTAGCCCGATAAGCTCGTGCAAACCTTCTGCCATCCCAATGCTCCTGAACCTCTTGTGAAATAGCTTCTCGTGTCTGTTGCCGAGCCCACTGCCGAATTTTACCACGCTCTCTGGAAATCGCTTTGAGCTGAGCCTCAAATTGCCTTTTAGTAGCGTCTGTCGCCCACGTGGCCTCCCGAAGGTCTCTGCGCTGCCGAAGAATAGCCAGCCTTGCCTGTCGTAACTGTCGGTAGTTATCATCAACGTGCTGAGGTTCCAGGAAAAATCCTTGCCGTGATCCACCATCGCCTTCTCAAGAAAAGTAAAAATAGCGTCAGGAGTGGGTCGCAGCCCGAGTTGCACCCATTCTTCCATGTTCTGCTGCAAAAAGAGATTCAACTTCGTTAAATAATCATGTTTGCGGTCTCCGTGCCGAAAGGCATGAACTAAAGAGTCTCTGTTCCACTTCTCTCTCTGAATATCGTCGCACTGATCTGCACAGGTAGCCAACTTGTCGTACACTATATTTGCGAATACTGGCACATGGCCACGTAGCTCACGATCAGGAATGTACTGCAGATGCCGTCCGAGTCGCAGAAGAGGTGCTGACTTAATCAAGACGTCTATCCAAGCCACAGGACCAAAAATGTAGTCCAAGCGCGAGTGCTCGCCCGAGTGTCCGAACCATGTCGGCGCAAGCGAATCGTTGAACACCGCGAAGTGGTGTCTATGAAGAAGTTCTCTCAGCTGCTGCCCTGCACCGTCCTTGAACTCCCTCGTCGCATGCGCCTCGCTGATGTCCCCTTCGCCGATGTAGCCGTCGTCCTTTTTTGAGCCGATGCCGATGCCGTCATTGAGGTCCGTGAAAATAAGCGGCAGCGACGAATGCGGGGTACTCAGCAGCACTTGGTCCAGCCGTTGTGTCATCTTTGTGCAGGTCTCTCGATAATGCGCTCCAGCTTTGGCCGACTTCGGTTTCGGTGGAAAATACATCGTTATGGCCGTTACGTCCATGAGTCCATTCTTGCATCTAGCTGCGAGCACTCGTCCTTGAAGCGGGGCAGGGGTCGGAAATACGCGTCGAAGATGTGAACGATTGACCCTCCTACCCCACAGCAACCTGCACCCAGCCGACTTTTTAGTAAACACTCCAGAGCCCCAGCCTGATCCGATAATCAGACGACCATTACCAGTAGACTGGAGCCCGTGCGAATAGCCAGGGGGCGCCTTGCTCTGCGTGCCCACCAAGGCCGAAGTTGCGCACCTCGTCCGCAATGTCCTCCGCCCTGCCCCCCAGCGCCGACAGCGGGTTGAAGACCCCGATGAGCAGTGGCAGAGTCCGCATGGACCTGCCAGCGCAGCTCCTCGCCGCCTGAGAGGCAGCCGCCATCGCCCGCGCCGCGGCGCGGCTCCTGGCGCGGTGGGAGAGGCTGGGGGCCCCCCAGAGCGGCCCCGCATCCTGTTCTTGGGGGGGCTAGAGGAGGAGGAGGAGGAGGAGGAGGAGGAGGAGGAGGAGGAGGCGAAACTGGAGGAGGTCAAGGAGGAGGAGGAGGAGGAGGAGGAGGAGGACAAAGGCGGTGACCCCGAATCTCCACTGACTCACCACGCCGGCATGGTCACCACGCCGCTCTCGGGAGCCCCCGCGCCACTGCCCCCCCCCGTGCTGGGCCTCGGCCGGGCGAGCCCACGGGCGACTGGCTCGCCGGTGCGGCCCCCCGGGCGCGCCGCGTGCGCCGCGAGCGCCGGCAGCACCGCGCGCGCCAAGGGGGGCCCGCGCCGCCGGCCAGGCCACGGATCGGCACGAGCGAAGTGGGCACTCGGCGGTGACGACGACGGCGACGACGGCGACGACGACGACGACGACGACGATGACGACGGCGACGGCGACGGCGACGACGACGACGACGACCACCACCACCACCACCACCAACCACTGCCCGCACGCCAGCCTGCGCCAGCTGCGCCTCGGCTCGCCCGCCCGCCCGCCCGCCCGCAATCGGTTCTGGCCCGCACGTGCTACTGGGCATCGCACCAACGTTGTCCGTGCTCGGCAGCGCGCACAAGGGGCTAGGGGGAGGGGGGAGGGCTGCTTAGAAAAGGGCTGCTTCTCAGAAGGCACCGGCCCTGCATCTACAGATAAGGCCCGGGCCTGCTAAGAAGCAGGGATGCTTCTAAGAAGCCTTCCCCGCATCCCAGGAGCCCACGAAAGTTGCGACGGTTGCACAGATCGCAAGCCCCCCAAGGGGGCGGCGAGGTCCCGAGGTGATCCGCGCGGGACCCACCTCCGCTGGGCCTCCCAGGAGCCCACGAAAGTGGCGACGGTTGCGCAGATCGCAAGCCCCCCAGAGGGCGGCGAGGTCCCGAGGTGATCCGCGTGGGACGTACCTCCGCTGGGCCTCCCAGGAGCCCACGAAAGTGGCGACAGTTGCGCAGATCGCAAGCCCCCCAAGGGGGCGGCGAGGTCCCGAGGTGATCCGCGTGGGACGTACCTCCGCTGGGCCTCCCAGGAGCCCACGAAAGTGGCGACAGTTGCGCAGATCACAAGCCCCCCAAGGGGGCGGCGAGGTCCCGAGGTGATCCGCGCGGGACCCACCTCCGCTGGGCCTCCCAGGAGCCCACGAAAGTGGCGACGGTTGCGCAGATCGCAAGCCCCCCAGAGGGCGGCGAGGTCCCGAGGTGATCCGCGTGGGACGTACCTCCGCTGGGCCTCCCAGGAGCCCACGAAAGTGGCGACAGTTGCGCAGATCGCAAGCCCCCAAGGGGGCGGCGAGGTCCCGAGGTGATCCGCGTGGGACGTACCTCCGCTGGGCCTCCCAGGAGCCCACGAAAGTGGCGACAGTTGCGCAGATCGCAAGCCCCCCAGGCGGCGGCGAGGTCCCGAGGTGATCCGCCTGGGATCCACCTCCGCTGGGCCTCCCAGGAGCCCACGAAGTGGCGACAGTTGCGCAAATCGCAAGCCCCCCAGAGGGCGGCAATGTCCCGAGGTGATCCGCGTGGGACGTGCCTCCGCTGGGGCCTACGAAAATGGCGACAGTTGCGCAGATCGCAAGCCCCCCAGGGGGCGGCGAGGTCCCGAGGTGATCCGCGTGGGACGTACCTCCGCTGGGCCTCCCAGAAGCCCACGAAAGTGGCGACAGTTGCGCAGATCGCAAGCCCCCCAGGGGGCGGCGAGGTCCCGAGGTGATCCGCCTGGGATCCACCTCCGCTGGGCCTCCCAGGAGCCCACGAAAGTGGCGACAGTTGCGCAGATCGCAAGCCCCCCAGAGGGCGGCGAGGTCCCGAGGTGATCCGCGTGGGACGTACCTCCGCTGGGCCTCCCAGGAGCCCACGAAAGTGGCGACGGTTGCGCAGATCGCAAGCCCCCCAAGGGGGCGGCGAGGTCCCGAGGTGATCCGCGTGGGACGTACCTCCGCTGGGCCTCCCAGGAGCCCACGGAAGTGGCGACAGTTGCGCAGATCGCAAGCCCCCCAGAGGGCGGCGAGGTCCCGAGGTGATCCGCCTGGGATCCACCTCCGCTGGGCCTCCCAGGAGCCCACGAAAGTGGCGACAGTTGCGCAGATCGCAGACGGCACGAGAGAAGAGGAGAATGGAACACAGTAGACAGGAGAGAAGGAGGAGGGGAGGAGAGGGGGGGAGGAGAAGGAAGGACGGGGCGACCACCCTGCTCGATTCAAAACGAGTCCCCAACACAGGAGGGTTGGGAAAAAAAACGTCTGGAAAGTCCAGAGAGCACGACAAAATTCGTCCCTGGACTACTTCTTGACTGTTCTTGGGCACTCCTCCTGCAGAGGCACACGCCCGACTGGAACCCAGGATCGGCGTGCACGCCAAAGGCACACGCACACGCGCACCCCGGGCACGGGAGCGGCCCGGCCGGCATTGGTGCAAGCGCACACGCGGCTGCCGCGGCCCCGCCCCGGGAAGCGTGCGACCGTCGGGGCCGCCTCTCGCGCGGGCGCCGCGCACCTCCTGCCGAGGGCCTCGCCATCGCTCGGACGTCCATTTCTCGTGTACTTTTCGATTCCGTGCGTGGCTTTTTCGCCAAATGATCAGGGCTGCTCCTCGATGGTCCTCGCCGAAGGAAGAATGCACACGTCCGAGCGATGCCAAGCCTCCTGCCAAGGGCTGCTGTGCATGCCTGCCCTCCGGCGCCGCCGTGCCGCCCCCGCCCCCCGCCGGCGGAACGTGAGCGGCTTGGTGCCGGTGCCCTCCGGGGGGAACTCGGGATACCGCGACCTGGGCAGGGGGCCACATGCGAACCCTACCCCTACCCCCCACGACTTCTGAGGGGAGGGTGGGGTTCACTTCGCTCGAGAGCTCCCGAACGAAGTGAACCCCACCCTCCCCCTCAGAAATCGTGGGGGGTAGGGGTAGGGTTCGCATGCGGCCCCCTACTGGGCTCGGGCTGCCGTGAGCAGAGAGCGAGCACCCGCTGCTTTTTGCTCCCTGCTCCGTATGCTGCCACCTGGCGGCGAGCAGGGGGGGGGGAAGGGAGGAGGGGCGGGCAGCCTCGGAAGGCTCGGGGAGGCCTGCTGAGAAGCTTCCTGAGCCCTCCCCGAGGACACAGAAGACTTCTCAGAAGGCGCGAGGGCTTCTGAGAAGCCAAGCCGCCTCCTGAGAAGGCCTTCTCTTTCTCGTTCCCCCCCCCTCGCTCGCCGCCGAGTCACGTCCTGGTGCTCTGCACAGGGTCAGAGAAACCCCCTGCTTGGTCCACCAGAGGACAGCGCCAAGGATGGGCCTGAGGAGCCTCGAGCCCATTCCGAGACAAGATCTTTATTACAAGGTGTCGTTGCTGCTCGCACTCCCAATTTTCCCACTTCCATTCGCACCCTCCATATACGTCGCATACTTCGGCTCTTTTGATATCATTCCGACGTAAACACCCGTACAACCATGCGCGCACGTAGATAAACAATCATGCATCGGGGCATTCGACGTCAAATTACACACCATTACTCCATGATACATGTCCTGCCAAGTCTCATTACTGCGTACCACAAGCCGCTACATAGACACGCACAAGACAACACGTATAAATGCATGCGTGATCCATACGTTCACATGTACAGAAATGCGCGCATCTACATACCAGGGCAAACGATACCATGGTGTGTCAGATCATGCTTAATCGTGCTTCGAAAATACTGGACTAGAACCATTGCGCCCGCTTCGCGCGCTCTCAAATTCTGCTTGCCATGGGGCCAAGCGTATAGCGCGACGGCGGGGCCGTGTCCGGATGTTCGGGCCCATCGGCTTGGAAGCCCACGCGTTGGTGTCTGAATTCGCACTGAGGCTTGACATTCAGGCAAGTCCTGGGGCATCAATAGTGGGGATATGTTTGGCCTCCGAGGCCATCTTGGAGCCACACTTTGTCAGCACATTGAACTCCAGAGAATACGAATGACAATACTAATAAATACTTCTAATCATAGTAATTATGAAAATATATCACAAGAATGAAAATAATACTAAGAAGAAGAAGAAGACGAAGCAGGGGAATTAATTTGATAATTTACTGGTTTGGCCTCCTTGAAGTGCTGTGTGGGCACTCTGGCGCCCTCTCGGGGCCGTCTTGGGACCCTCTTGGGGTCTCTTTGCGGTGCTGGGCTGGGAGCCTCCTGGAAGAGCCTGGGGGCATCTTGGGACCGCTTCTGTGCCTTATTGGGCCGTCTGGGGCTCCTCTGGAGGCCGTCGCTGACCCTCTTGGAGCTCTCGCGGGGCAGGCCCGGGCCCTCTTGGGAAAATCTGAAAGCTCGCCTGGGTGCCTTTTGGGGCTCCGAGGCCATCTTGGAGCCACAGTCTGTCAACACGTGAGGACTCCAGGAAATTGCGGACAAAAACCTTGGGAGCCCCTTGGGTTTTCTACCTGCCCGGCCCCTTGGAGGTCCTCTGTGGGCACGCTTGCCGCCCCTTGGAGCCGTCTCGAGGCCCATGTGCAGCGCCGGGAGCCTCTCGGGGGAGCCCAGGGCCTCCTGGGACCGTCTTGGGGCACTCCCTTGGAACTCCTGCAGCGCTCTTGAGAACCTCCTGAGGGGGAGTGTGCTGCGGCCCAAGGCACCCCTGGGCACGGTTTCCGATGCATGATTATATGGCAGATCATCAGGTCACAGTGCGATGCGGTGCCTCACACAGCAGTATTCACACGACAGCATACATTCGTGCATGCACGTAGAGCAACCTGGCGGTCCAGATACACATGTGACCGCCGGCAGGGTCAACACATGCAAGGCAAACCGGTGCTTGCATGCACGTACACATGTTTGCACACCCAGTGCCGACGAGCATTCGAATGGAATGGTCATCAAGAAAAATAGAGCATGGCCTCAAAGAGTCAACAAGGCGAGCGTAGGTCTCGCAATAATGCGGCTCATCAAGAACCTGAGCGTCTGCCACTCAGAATAAGTGAGAAGCAACTGACACGTCGGTGAGTGGCCCCTCATATCACGGCGACAGTGCAACAATCAAGAAACTCAGAAAGAGATTTCTGATCTGCAATGCGGCACGTCAAGAAATTACTGGAAACAATACAGTGTTCTTCACACGCACAAAATGAAGACGTGAGAACTGTTGACGATCAACACTGCTCTTGCTGCATAGGCACCACCTTCCGTTCGTTTCCTGTCCCCAAACTCAATCTTCATCAAGCAAGCAGACGGATAAAAGGGAGCAGCAAGACGAGGAGAAGACGCGTTGAATCAAAGAGCCTTCCGAATAATCAGCGACACCACGAGCTGGAGATCCTCCGAGCCGTGGATGACAATGTCATTGAAGCGCTCGACTACGCGGGTTAAATTCTTGTGGGACACCTTGCGGAAGGGCGCTCACACCTCGATCTTCTACGCCCCTCGTTCCCGAGCGATACCGGAGCCGACCTCGCCCGCCCCTGTCAGTTCTCGAGCAACGCCTGGTCGTGATCGAGGCTTGCATTCGGCTCGTCGCCCGAAGGCCATGCGCGTACTGAGCGATGCCATCCCCCTCCTCAACCCCAAGCTCCTGGATGGGGTCACACGACAGGGGGGTTACCAAATGGAGGACGGTGAATCAGCTCACGACACTTAAGCTGCTGGCGCCTCCCGGCGCCAGGAAACGCCGCGCTAAAGTATCGAGGACAGCATCTGGCGGCGGGCCCGAAACCAGCAAACTTTTCTGGATACCGTACGGAAATCACGCAGCAGGACAAGACATCCCCAGGTCTCCGAGACTTCAGTCAGCGAGGGGCCTATGGCATGCGGCGCAGCCGCTGCTTGTGGAGAGACGAAGAATGGAATCGGGCCAGCTGGATGTAAACCGCGCAGAAAACCTACAACAGCGCGCTGTCGCGAGGGCATGCGCCCCGATCCAGCAAGAATTAGAAGGCAAGAGACATGTTGCAGAGTGCGTCGAGAAGAGGTGTAAGATATGGTGGGAAGTCGGATGAGTTCGAGTAGCGCACCCTTATCAAAAGATCCTGCAGAGCGTAAGGCATGTGCACAGCTCGTGCGAGCATACATAAACACACATCCTTGAGGCACAGCCCGTATGACGCCAACCCAACGGACCAAAGACGCACTGGATTATCGGAAGTATGCTCTGTCTAAGAGATTACAACCAGACTGGCTTCAGAGCAATTGAAAGCAGGGGACTTCTACTCAAGGTAAAGAAGAAGATGCCTTGTTCAGAAGCTGCTGAACATCGCGTGTGATCTTGTCCTCGTGCGACTGGGGTCTCTGCAGCCTCTCTAGCAATCCGTCCCGCCCTGGGGGGGAGGCTCGAGAAGAGCCTGACCTGTAATGTCGTTTCCTCCCCTCCCTGCATCCCACGCTCTGTTCGTCCTCGCATGTAAAGGCCGACTCCGAGCGCCCAGAAGAAGCGAGCACTCGCATAAGGGTGCTCCCCTGCCACCCCCGAACGCGTGTGCGAGGAGGGGGTCCAGGAAAGTGAACGCTTTCTTCTGCCGCGCTTCGACCTTGGGCGGAAGAGGGGGAGAAGGGGGGGTTCTCGCTCTAGACCTCTGCCTAATGCGACTGATTGCAACCGTGCGTCCTGTGGGGGAGACTCCACCTGCTTGAAACAGGCGCCGAAAACAGCCACGGCCCGCGCCGATCGGCGGCAAAAAAAAGAAGAAGAAAACGATCACAGGGGTTTCACCCCCAAATGAGTGTGCGAGGGGGGGCGGTCGAGGAGAAATATATATATATATATACATGAGAAATATATATATATATATATATATACATACATATATATATATATACATATATATATATACGAGAGAGCGTGATCCACCGCCGCTTTACTGTGGAAAATTGCCAGCCTTTTCCTCTGGAACCCGGGGGTCGCCTCCCCCCCCCCCCGAAAATCCTCTCCCCTGCTGGAAAACCCCCTCCTCCCCCCCCCCCCCTCCCCCGGCAACCCCCCCCTCCCCTAACCCCTCCCCCCCCCCCCCCCTCGAAAACCGGGGGGGTCACTACCGGTTCGATCCCTCCCCCCCCCCTCCCGGATCCGGATCTGGAAAACCGGGGGGGTCACAACCGGTTCGAACCCCTCCCCCCACGCACCGCCAGCAAACGACTCCCCGTCCCTACCACTGTCCGCATCACATCCCCCACTGTTGTTCCCAGCGCTTGTTCCCAGCGCCACTGTCCTCACCACCACTGTCCCCACTGGTTCCACCACCGTCCCCACTGTCCCCACCAGTGCCCCCACCACTGTCGCACTGTCCCCACTGTTCCCACCACTGTTCCCACCACGGTTCCACTCTCCCCACTGTCTCCACGGACCCAACCACTGCCCGACTATCCCCACTGTCCCCACTGTCCCACTGACTCCTCCGCTGTCCCACTGAGCTGTCCCACTGTTCCCACCACTGTCCCCACTGTCCCCACCACTGTCCCCACTGTACCTCTGTCCCATTGTCCCACCGCCGTCCTCGCCACCGCCTTCACCACTGTCCCCACCACCATTGTACCCTCCGCTGTCCCACTGTTTCCACCTCATTCCCACTGTCCCCACACCACTGTCCCCACCACCACCGTCCCCACCACTGTCCACTGTCCCCCCCGTTCCCACCATTGTCCCCACCACTGTCCCCACCACTACCGTCCCCGCCACTGTCCCACTGTCCCACTGTCCCCACCACTGTCCCGCTGTCCCCTCACCACTGTCCCCACCAACACCGTCCCCACCACTGTCCGCGCCCCCACTCGGTTTTCGAGGGGGGGGGGGTCGAACCCGTAGTGACCCCCCCCGGTTTTCGAGGGGGGGGGGAGGGGGGGGGGTTCGAACCGGTAGTGACCCCCCCCCCCTTTTCATGATGAACTGGGGGGGGGGGGGGGTTCGAACCGGTAGTGACCCCCCCCGGTTTTCCGGAGGGGGGGGGGGGGGGGAGGGGTTCGAACCGGTAGTGACCCCCCTCGGTTTTCCGCCAGCAGCGGTAGAACACGCTCTTTCATATATACATACATACACATTCATATACAACTACAAACGAATATATACATATATGCATACATATTTTCATACATATATATATATATATATATATATATATGTGTGTGCGTGTGTTCCGACGCTCTGGGGAGTTTTCTGGCGCTGCGTGCAGCAAACAGGGGTCGAGCGTCGAACCCAGGAGGAGGAGGAGGAGGAGGAGGAGGAGGAGGAGGCGGGAGGGAAGAGGAGGAGGAGGAGGAGGAGGAGAAGGTAGGAGGAGAAGAGACGAGGAGGAAGAGGAGGAGAGATGAGGAGGAGCAGGAGGAGGAGCAGGAGGAGGAGGAGGAGGAGGAGGAGGAGGAGGAGGACCCCCTTCAGGCGGCATCCACCGCTCACCTCACCGATCCTGCAGGGGCCCGCCACGGGCCCACGATCGGTGCACAGGCGCCCTCCTGCCTGGCCAAGCCACGAGCGCACGGGCACCGACCCGAGGCCGGGCCGGACGCCTGCGCCGGCGAGGCGGTCCGGCCCGGCCTCGGGTCGGACCGCCTCGCCGGCGCGGGCGTCCGAGAGCGAAGCTCTTCCGCTAAAAGCTAGGCGGGCTACGCACAGCTTGAATTGGGGAGACGGGGCACAGGAAGGCGGGGCCTCGGGCGGCCGGAGCAGGGAGCCAGGGGCGCAGGCGGTGCCGAAGAGCTAGCACAGAAGAAGGCACGCCGTGGACGAGAGCCTCAGGACACGTGCCCCTCGGGACCCTCCTCCTCCTCATTCTCCTCATCCTCCTCCTCCTCCTCCTCCTCCTCCTCCTCCTCCTCGGACGAGAGCCTCAGGACACGTGCCCCTCGGGACCCCGCATCCCACGCTCCGCGCACATCCTCGCGCACGGGAGGCCGACTCCGGGCGCCCAGAAGAGGCGAGCGCTCGCACGCACAAGGGCACACGGCCATCCCCCGAACGCGAGCGAGTGCGAGTGGGGTCAAAAAAAAATGTCCCAGCGCTCGCATGAGTGCTCAGGAGGAGGAGGAGGAGGAGGAGGAGGAGGAGGAGGAGGAGGAGAAGGAAGAGGAGAAGGGGAGGAAGAGGAGGAGAAGGAGTGTTCAGGAGGAGGAGAAGGAGGAAGAGGAGGAGGAGGAAGAGGAGGACCCGTTCCCCTCGGGACCCGTCTCCCCCCATGGCGATGCGTGCGGCAGATTTCGCCACCCCCCTTCAACAGACCGCCCCGTGCCGGCCGACCCGAGAGACTCCGCCGCCCCTTCCGCTGGCGGCCCCCCGCAGACACGGCATCGGGCGCGAAGAGGCCCGCCCCCCGGCGCGCGACGTGGCGCTGGGGGGGGACAGGCAGCTCTCGATCGGAGGGGAGGGCCGCGAGAGGATCAGAGGATCAGAGGCAGGGGACGGAGCTCCTCCTCCTCCTCCTCCTCCTCCTCCTCCTCCTCCTCCTCCTCCTCCTCCTCCTCCTCCTCCTCCTCCTCCTCCTCCTCCATTTCTTTCCCTTCTGAACTTCTCCCTGTCGCACCCCGAGGCCAGTTTTAGGGCGGGCTGGGCGTTCCGCCCGAGACTTCCTCACCATGTATGACCCGGAAGCTTTGAAATTTGAGAACCGCTCCACAGATGGAGGACGGGTGGTTTTCAACGTGCTCTCGCCTTGGCGCCGAGCACATTCCTTTCAAAACTTGCAAGAGATTCGCGAATGGAGGGCGACTCCTTCTCAAGATGTGACTCTCGCCTTAGCGCCGCACACATTCGCCCTCTAAGCTTGCAAGAGCTTCACGGATTGGAGGCGGCTCCTTTTCAAAATTTGGCTCTCGCCTTAGCGCCGCGTGCATCCGTTTTACAAGTTCGCAAGGGTTTCACGCATTGATGGCGGTTCCGTTTCAAACTGTGGCTCTCGCAGTAGCGCCGAGCAGACTCTATTATAGAAGTTTTAAGAGTTTAGCTGACTACCAGGATGGACGTACAGGAAATGGTGTGTGGAAAATTTCAAGAGCATGAGGGTGCAACAGTTACGTTGATTCGCGGTGTTGAAGTCCTAAGAATGGCGTTCTGGCAGGATTCATGATCGTCAAGACGCAACAGTCAGGATGATCCGTGGCGTTGGAATACCGCGAACAATATGATGGCATGGTTCAGTCTTCAAACAGCTGTCTTCCGACGAGGCAGTTCCCTCAGTGGAAATGCACCGTTGTGGGGGCCTGTGAAGAGAAAGCTTGGAGGGAGGGCTTATTCCGACATCGTTGATGATTCTTGGGTCTACACTGGTCCTCCTCC